CCTGGAAGAAACTTTGAAATAACTTACTTCTGCTTACTCAGCCCTTCAGCCCTATTCTGTCCATAAAGCCAACTTCCTCTGCTCCGCACATAGGAGCTCTTATTCTGTCTCATGGAACAGGATGCTGCCCTGATTCATAAATAGTAAATAAAAGCCAATTAGAGTTGTAAACTAAGTTTGTGTTAACTGTGGATGTTCTAAAAAAACGACCTGCACTATAGTAAAGGCCACTGAGTCCATTTTAATGGTCACCTTGTCACCGTGTAAAAGCTTATGTAAACCGGTGCACCCAGCTCCCAGCCCCTCAATGCTGCAGACCCTGCCCGCCAAGGGGAGACCTCCGAGTCAGAGGCCACTCCAGCTACTTCTCCCGAGAGAAATACTGTAAGCCTCCTTCGTACGACTCTCAGGGACAGGCACCCGTAGCAGTTAAAAAGCAAGTAAACAAACACAAATGCCTCAACTCCATCCCGCAGCACCTGGGTCCCGAATCTCGTTCCCGCCCTCCCGGCCCTTCGGGAGCCTGAGGGGGCGTGGCCGCGGGCTCAGCGCCCACGTGACCGCGGAGAGCAGCGCGCCGCCGGGTCGCGCGATCCGCCGTCATATCAGCTTATGCCGCCGGCCCCTGATTGGCTGGCCGCGCCAATTACCCCGCGCGTGAACCCTCGCTCCGCCCCGCGCCGCTCCCCCCTGTGCGGCCCTGCCCGGCGCACTCGCTGACTGTAACCCTGGTAGCTCGGCGAACCGAGACGCCTAGAGCAGCCGAGGACCCTGCCAGGAAGACGCCGCGGGCGGACCGGGAAGGAGGGGGAATACCTCTGAACCGCGGGGCCGGTGAGGCGGAAGGCGAGCGGAAGAAAAGGTGAGGGAGAGAAATTTGGCAGAGGTCGCCCGCCTGGGGGACCAGGGGGCGCGCCGGGCCCTTCTGTTTTCAGCGCGCCGCGGGCGTTTCTCGAATGCTTTCCCTACATGCCGGACGGTAGACAAGTGCTGGGAGCGCAGCAGAGAAGACAACCCTGCTCCAGCGGTGACCCATGGGCGAGTCTGGCAGGTGGCCGGACATCCTTACCACAGGCTGCGAGGGCTGTGCCAGGGCGAGCGCGGGGCGTTGGGGATGCGCGCTGGCCTGGGCCGGCCGAGGGCTGCGGGGACCTCCGGCGGAGGTCCTGTCATTGGCGAGAGGAGGCATTCAGGGTCGATGCGGGCCCTGGACGCGGGAGAAGCCGACTTGTAGGGGCCTGAAGAAAATGCAGTGTTTGACGTTGGCCAGTGCAGAGCTCTTATCCCAGGCAAACCTGGCAGCCAAACACTAATGCTTTACTTTTTCCTTCATTCTTCGAGAGTTTTTTTTTTTTTTTTAAGGGGCAGAGGAATTAGGCTGAAGAACTGGTCAGAGTTGTAACTCCAGTGGCAGTGCAAGCCTAATTAGGGTGGAAGAACAACAGTTTAGGGTTTGAGCAGACTAGAAGAGAATGGGGAATAACCTATCACTTTAGCATTGTAGAAGAAAACTCGCGCACACTGCCATCCGTGTGTTGGCAGCAGAGGTGATTTGGAGGTGGTATAGGGTGAAGAAAACATTGCCTCAATCAATAAAGAGTCCAGACTGGAAAGTTTGTGGCAGCCTGGGATTTTTAGCCAAAACCTTTAATGTGATTACTTATGTTTATATCCCTATCATTTTTAAGTTTTAATGATACCTATTGATAATAAACACATGACCCCTGATCATTTATAGAGTGCTAATTTACCATTCATCATGTAATGTAATTGGGATGAAATTCCCATCTGCACATAAAACTTCTTGAGAAATAACAATGTAGCAAAGAGAACAGGCTCTGGAATGTACATCACAGAGGTTACTTGTTACTGAACAAGTTATTTAAACACCCTGACCTCAGTTTCCCTATCTGTAAAGTAGGAATTATAGAAGTACTCTACTGCAGTTGTGAGAATTAGATAAGGTTATAGACAAAAAGAGCTTAAAATAATATTTGGTTCTCAGTAAATGTTAACTATTGTCTATACTTTTTATGTGAAGCAAAAAGTTAATGATAGACTGAGCCATTCAAAGCCCAATATTGTTCTATTGATAACCGTATTTTAAGAAAAGGTTTCTTTATTTCTGCAAAGATAAAATAATGTCTACTATCAGCTTCTGTTTGAAGCAGGGGTATGTAAGGTCTCTGGAGCCTCTTAATTCAGAATTATAACCTTAAAATTGCATGCAGAATTATTTAAGTTTGTAGTTTTTGTTTGTTTGTTTTTGTTTTTGAGCCAGCGTCTCACCCTGGGTAAAGTGCTGTGGTGTCATAGCTCACAGCAACATCAAAGTCTTGGGCTCAAGTGATTCTCTTTCCTACACCTCCCGAGTAGCTGGGACTACAGATGCCCACTACAGTGCCCAGCTAAGTTTTGGGAAAGGGGTCTCTCGCTCTTCCTCTGGCTGGTCTTGAACTCCAAGCTCAAGCATTCCACCCGCCTCGGCCTCCCAGAGCGCTAGTGTAGAATTGTTTAAAATTAAGTTATTGATGAGTGGAGGTAGTGGTAAAGAGGCCGTGGAACTTGGTGAAAGTCCATGGACTTTGCCCCCAGACTATGTGTGTTTGAATCCTGCTCCAGTGTTTATTTATTTTATGATTGGACAAGTTACTTAAATTTTCTGGGCCTACGTTCTTCTGTAAAATAAGAATAATACTAGTACCTAACTCTTGGAGTTTCTTCAAAGGGTTGAGTGAGTTAATATATGCAAAATATTTATAGGACCTAGTATGTAGTAAATGTTAGCTACTGCCAATTATTTTTCAAAGGAGAGTTAAAAGGCACTTTTTTGTCTTATGTGACATTAGTTTCGACTCATTTTCAGCTCCCTTAATA